CTCTCTCTAATAAATAAAATCTTTAAAAAAAAAAACACTAGACAAGTTATGTGACTCCTTTGCCTAAAAGCCTCCTCTCCATGCCTGTTGGGTGTGGGCCTCTGCCTCCCTTCCCAACCTTGTCTGGTACCACCCTCCCCTCTGCTCACTGCTCTATGGCCACATTAACCTTCTAAAAGCTTCTTGTGTGTGTGCCAAGCTCTTTCCTGCTTCTGTGCCCCCTCCCCCCGCCCCCCAGCCTTTGCTCTTCCCTCACTCTAGGTGGCTGAGTCCTTCTGACTCTTTGGACTTCAAGGGGGCTGTCCAGATCCCCCATGCAACACACAGAGGTTGCTCTCTGTAAGATCACTCTTCAATCCAAAACCACGGTGTTTCTTTACTTTATCCTCCCCTTTTGGATCACAAGCTCAGTGGGGCCAGGAGCCTTGTCCGTCTTGTTCACCACTGAATCCCTCATGCCTAGAAGAAGCCTGACACAAAGGAGGCGTTCAGTGAGTCTCTGTGAGTGGGGATGAGCTGCGTGTAGAAAGTCAGCCTGCGGTCAACACTGAAGTTGCCATAGCAAGCCCTTGGCAGGCAACAGCAGAATGGAGCCCACACTGGCCCTTCAGAGAAAGCACAAGCCCACGTGGCTCAGAGTCTTCATGGGGGGTGCCCACCGCCCCCAGCCCCCACCCTAGCTGCTGAGCTGGCAGAACACATGCCTCTCTGCCTCTCCTGTCGGGACTAGAGTCTGAGGTCACTGCCACTGGCCGACTCCTAATCCAGTAGTCTATAATTAAAGCCCTTCCTCCCTTCTGCTCAGTGTCTGTGGCAGAGACCACGTCAATGTTATCTCCACACAGAGGGCTGCTTTCAATTTTATTTTCCCTCAAGTCAGCAATATCGGAAAGTGCTGGAGTAAAAATAGCTTAAAGTACATGAAAACTCGGCCCTTTGAACAACGCACTATTTGTGATGTCATCTCTTACACACAGAATGGGAGGATTTTAGATCTCTTCTTCCTTTTTAAGTTTCTAAAACATGTTGCTTTTTCCACTGCAAACACAGTGCTATAGGCCGTGGGATTCCCATGCAGTCTTCGGGGATGTTTGCCATCTTAGAAGGCAGCTATGCTCGCCATCATACGCCCAGCGCTGCACTGTTTGCCATCTTAATGCCTAGTGCTGGGCTTTCTTCTCTGTAAATATGAAGTTCTCAAACTTGAAAAGCCCTCACTTGCCTTTTGGTTTGGAAACGGGAGATGGCTGTGAGAGGTGGACGCTGCAAGAAGGCGGAGCATCTTTGGTGGGGGGGGGCAGTCTCCTGGACCTTGAACTCAGTCAGCTGCCCCAGGGTAACTTGGCACAGAGGACTTGACATCCAGGGACCAAATTTGTAAGATACTGTCACGAAATCAAGATGCTCACATGCCAATCTGGAATCTGGGAGGAACTTTTCTTTTCTGCTCTTTTCTTTTCTTTTTAAAGATTTTTTTTTTTTATTTGAGAGAGAGAGCACAAGCAGGGGGAGCAGCAGAGGGAGAGGGAGAGGCAGGCTCCCCGCTGAGCAGAGAGCCAGACACGAGGCTCGATCCCAGGACCCCAGGATCATGACCTGAGCTGAAGGCAGATGCTTAACTGACTGAGCCACCAGGTGCCCCAAGGGAGAAACTTTTCTAACATTAAGAACACCTGGGCCTATTCTCGAGGACACCCCTTTCCATTTTCAATGTGTCACCCACGCATAACCTGTGGAATGTACCTTCTTTCCAAAAAAACAGTGTGTACATCCTCACCCCAGTGTTGGGCTCCCTTGTGGCATGCTGACAGGACTATCTCGCAGAGGACGTAGCTGGTTGCATTCCTGTGGGTTAGGATCAGGGTCTCTCTTGCAAGGGACAGACATTCCCCATACTGAAATCCTTGGAAAAAGCAAGGCCACCAGCAGGCAACAGGAACACAGGAGGCAGGCCTTAGGCAGGAAAGAGAAAGTATGTGTTTCTAGCCACGAAGTCTGGATGAGCCTGGGCACTACCACGTGGGAAAGGAAGGACCTATCCGACTGAGGGCAGGATGGGTTTAGGCAGGAAATGTTCCTGTGTAGGGACCCCACACTGAGGAGCTTAAGACCAGTGAGCTTCTGTGTGAGATTCGAAGTTCTGAGAACTGGCAGCCTGCCTCCAATATGTTCTACCTGGCTGCTTCTGTTTGGCCAGCCTAGTGTTTTAAAAGGCAATGTAGGGGCGCCTGGGTGGCTCAGTTGGTTAAGCGACTGCCTTCGGCTCAGGTCATGATCCTGGAGTCCCAGGATCAAGTCCCGCATCAGGCTCCCTGCTCAGCAGAGAGTCTGCTTCTCCCTCTGACCCTCCCCACTCTCGTGCTCTATCTCATTCTCTCTTTCAAATAAATAAATAAAATCTTAAAAACAAAACAAAACAAAAAACGAAGAGAGATAGGGGATCTCTCCTGAAAAGGAGTAGGGACTGTGATTACATTCTAGCTGAGGAACTGATATTAGTGATGGGGTGAGTGAATTGGAGGGTTAACAATAAGCAATATATCTAGAGCCCTCTGATACCGTTTTTGTCTAAGCCATCTTCACTTCTTGCCTGGAATTATTGCAATCGCCACCCAACTTGGCTCCCTGCTTCTACCCTTGCCCCCTTCAGACACTGCTCAACACGGGCTTGCATGATCCTGTGAAATATAACTCAGATCATCTCACTCCTGCACCAAACTCTTCCTTACAGTAAAAGCCAAAATCACTACAGATTGCCCCCCAGACCCTCCACGATCTGGGTCCTCATCCCTCCCCACCCCCTTCACTGCACCTTGGTTACAATAGCCTTCTTGCTATACTTAGAATATGACAAGTAAGCACCTGCTTCGGAAACTTTGCCCTTACTTTTCCCTCTACTTAGAACATTCTTCCCCCTCACTATCCACAGGGCTCCTTCTCTCACTTCAGTCTTTTACTCAAATGTTTCCTCACTAAGACTTTCCCTGGCTACCCCATCAATCCCACCCCCGCCCTGCCATTTTCTATTCCCCCTTCCCTGCTTCCATTTTCCCCCCTCCTTGACTTACTACATTATATCATTATACACATTGTACTTATTTCTCTATTTGTTATCTTTCAGTCCCATTAGAATGTAAACTCTGAGAGCAGGGGGTTTTGTCTGCTTTGGTCACTGTCATACCCCCAATACCTAACAGTGCCTTCTACCCAGTAGGCACATAATATGTGAATTACTTAAGGGGGTTTTCAGCAGAGGAATACTATGATCAGACTTTTTATTTATTGATTTATTTTTAAAGAGTTAATTTATTTGAGAGAGAGAGAGAGCATGAGGGGGGAAGCGTCAGAGGGAGAAGCGGACTCCTTGCTGAGCAGGTAGCCCGATACAGGACTCGATCCCGGGACTCCAGGATCATGACCTGAGCCAAAGGCAGTGGCTTAACCAACTGGGCCACCCAGGCACCCCAATCAGACTTACATTTAATACAATAAGTCTCACTGGCTTAAGGATAAACTGAGGATGAACAAAAGCAGAAGCAGGGAGACCATTTATATGCTGGGGCAGTAACCCAGGGAAACAATTTATAGCCACGAAGTGCACAACTCCAGTGAAATGTGAAAAGGTACTCTCTGGAGATATACAGAAGGGCTGCCAGACCTGGTGGAAACTATGAAGGTAACTAGAAGTGGTCAGAGTCTGGCTACCTTTTGAAGGTAGAGCCCCACATGATTTAACTGACAAATTTAATGGAGAATGTGCAAGAACGAAAAATCAAAGATACTTCCAAGATTTTGGGTGCAGATGTAAATAATAATAATAATAATAATATCAGCACAACTGACAAATTAAAGAGCCATTCTACTCATAAGTGCTTACCACATTTCAAATCTGGGTATACAAGCCGGGCCTCACTTGGCCCCTCCAAATCACTATACTTTTCTCATCTACTCATTACCACTTACCCATCGCTCAGCGAGCCCTGTACTCTCCAATTTCCATGTCTTGCTCATCCCATCCCACATGTGACTTGTTCATATGACCAAGTCCTGATTCAAAGAACACTCCTCCAAGATGCCTTTCCTGATGCCCCAACTTTAAAAAAAAATCAATCTCTCGCCGACATTTCCATTCCATCCCTTCCTTCTGTGCCTCTGTAACAGCACTTAGAACAGCACTTACCTAAGCAAGCAATACTAGATAGAGGTAGCATTCACAGCCCCTATCCACCAATTCCCACCTGGTCTGTGCGCTCCGCACAGATAGGATCCACATGTTATATCACTGACTTCCGCCTCCTCCAAAATATCTACACTGGTGTCCGACAGGAAACAGACACTATACGCATGTGTATGGAGAGAGTATGAAAGCTACACCCATTCCAAAGGTCAGCTTCCACGCTGGCCAGGGGTGCATATAAACCCGTGCACGGCCGGGCTCCAAAGCTCAGGTAGAAATTAGGACAAATGCTGCGTCCTGAAGGATCCCGGCGGCAGGAGGCCTGCGGGCAGCCCTCCGCAATGAAACACGTGCCTCTGCATACTACCCCCAAGCAGGGCTAGCCCATGACGCCGCATCAGCTGACTCGAGGCCGATTTTGGCCGACTGGCTGGAAAAAAAACCCGCAGGGTTCAAGGACGCGAGCAGAGCTCAAGGACGCGAGCAGCGCCAAACCCTCCCCAAAGCGGCTGCGGGCGGACAGCCAAGAAGACACCTTCTCTCGCTCGCTCAGGGACTCGAGCGGAACGGGGACGGCCGGAGAGGCGCTCGCGCCACCTCGCTCCACACCGCGCGGAAGGCCGCGCAGCCAATGGCAGGGCCGCAGTTCCTTCCCGCCGACGGGAGGCGGGAGCCAAGGGGCTCGGCTCGAGCCGCGCTCCCATTGGCTGGGACGGAACCGCCCAGACAAAGCCGCGCGTGCCGGGGCGTAACACCGCCTCAGCATCCCCCACGCTGCGCCCGCGGCGCCTCCACCGTGCTCCCACCCCCCCCTACCCCCCAGCCCCCGTCCCCGTCCCCGTCCGGCTGCCTGTCCGGTCCTCCGGCAGCCGCAGGCTCAGCTCGTGCTCCAGGCGGCCGAACCGGCAGCCTAACCGCTGTCTACCATCCTGCCCAGGGCGCCGCGGGAGGGGAGGAGCATTCCCCAAGTCCTGAGAACAGGGCTTCGTGAAGGACGCAATGTGGGGCAGGAGGAGGGAGATGCGGTGAAGGGGCGGGTCGAGCCTGGGGCTGGAACGACCGGCTTCGGTACTGGTTCGGCTTCCGACTATGAAATGACCTTGGGCCGCTTCCTTCCCTACTGGGGGGCCGGGGTGGTCTTTTGTAAAATGCGCAGGCAGGGAAGGATGAGTGCCGTGGGTTTCCCCTGGGCGCCTCGGGGCTGCGTGTTCAACCTGGGCCTCCTCCTGCTGAGCACATTATGCCTAATAAACGCCAGGCGGGCTCCCAGAGCGCGGACAGAAGGCCCAGGAAGGCGGTGGGTGAGGGCCACCTGGGACTGACACAGATCTGGACAGGATCCGTCCATCTTCCCACCCTTACCCCGACCGCAGCTGCAGGGCCAGACCTATAGGAATCTGTGCCCCATCCGCATCCTGGAGACTCGGCCAAGGGGTCGCGCAAGGCCAAACCAAACTGAGCAGGGGGCGTCGGCGCATCCCTCCTGAGCTGCCGAGATACGGACCCCTCCTCTTACCCCAAACCAAATGGGTGGAGGGGCTCCGGCTGCGGAGGGCCCAGCTGGCGCGTTCCCCTGAGACTGACGCTTCGCCGATACCCGCGCTCCTGGCTTGGACGACCGAGGGGGGGCGCTGCAGCCGTTTCCTTCTCGAAGCCCCTCTACACGCTCCCACTAGGGCGGCTTCCTCCTTCGGCTACCGGATGCGGCCGAGCCTAGACAAGGTGGGTGCACGCTGTCTGGCGGCGCGGGGCGGGGCGGGGCGGGGCGGACCGCGGGTGTCGCAGGGGCGGGAAGTGCTCCTGCGCTTTCTCCTTCCTCCTCCCGCGTCTCTCCTGGCCCTCGTCCCGCAGAGGGTACCCCCAATCTAGCTCCCAGCCCGAGATTAACCCCTTGCCGGGCGCTGATCTCCACCGCCAGGCGCGTTCTGGAGAGGCTGGGGCTCTCGGGCTGGAAGGAGCAGGTGCCGCACCAGGCACTGAGGGAACCTGGTGAGGAATGAGGCTCCTTCCAGCTTCTGTGCGTGTTTGCTGACGTTAGAACTCATCGGAGTTGGTTGGGTGGTTTTTATATTTGTCTTTAGATCGGATGGAATGCATTTAAAGAATTACTCCTATGAATCTTTAAAAAAGTAATTTAAGACTGGCACAGCTCCCAGAGTTTCAACAATAGAACGTCAGGGGCCAATTGGCCACAGATCAGGATGACCAAGCCAACTTTCTGCGATGAAAAACCGCCTGAGCAGAGAAGGAAACTATCCACAAATTAGTGACAGGAGCTATGTTTCCGTCAAATTACAGAAGCGCTGATTGGAAAGGGGCTATGCAGATGAAAACGGGAGGGAAGTGCTTGCCTGGTAGGGCTTTAAAAGAAACTTGTCAGCTCCGTTCCACGAGCTTCTTGAGAGTTACTGTTTCTTCTTTATCCCCAGCTCCTGACACATAGAGTCTTGAAGAATGGGAGGATCAAAAGGCAGGATGCACTTGATTCTCCGTACCCATTTTACAAACTCAAGCCCCGTACTTTCTTCGGTGTTTTGTTTCAGAATACTCACTCTGTACGCCATGCCACAGCCATAACATAAATCGTTACATTGGGTTGCTGGTTACACTTTGAGGGTTATGCATTGCTAGAAAAGCATTTAATTAAGGGAAGAATTCCTGACTGAGAATTAAATGGAAACGTAGTTCTATTTATGGAAGGCAGGGAAAGGACATTGCACCTGAAGTTATATCAGACTGCACCTGTGGCTGGCCTCACAGCTTCCCAGCCCATCTTTTTATTCCAGCTTTGCTGTGGCAAACGACTGCATACAGGTGTTACCTGAGAGCACCTTGCCTTGGCTGCACCTGTTGTCTTCTTGCCTCTGGTCTTCACTGTCACAGCAGCCAGGGACCCCTGCGGGGAAATCCCTCCCCAGTCTGACACATGCACATACCTGCAAATGCAAAAGAACTAACGCTTCTTGGGACAAGCTTTGAGCTGGTGGAGAAATACTCCCCTCTTCCATTCTTCCGATGGGCAGTTCTGAGGAGCATTCTGTGTAACTAAGAGGATAGAGCCCCAGTTGCCCACGGTGATGCCCAACTTTATCAGTTCAGTACTGCACCCTTGGCTTGCTTTTCTCTGTTCTTCCTTGCTTGCCTGATCTTCCCACCCCTCCACTCCTGTTCCTTGGGATTTGTTCCCAAAATAAACTACCTGTACCGAAATTCTTGCTCAGAGTGTTTTTCCCGGGAACCCGGACTAAGCCAGTCATTAAACCAAAAGAGGCATCTCTGCCCACCTTTCAGGGTCATTCTCAGCAGACCTTTCCCAAGTCTGCTAACAAGGAATCAATTTGTTCAGCCTGAGCTTTTGCTCCTTTTATCTCCCAGTTGCCCTGCCCTCTAGGGCATCACCAGTAAGCTCTCAGAGACAGGCAGGACGCATGGGGACTCCCAAGAGATAGGGCCAGCTGAAGGCCTGGGTCTAAATGAGTCTGACAAAGTCATTCTCAGAACCCCTTAAATTTCTCCCCTGTTTCCGAGGTCCTGGCTGCTGACTTTGAAACTAGAGAAACTCTCAGCTCTGGGGTTGAACATGGAAGTGGAGCTGATGTGGGACCCAATTCACTCCCAGTACAGCGTGTGCCAAGATTCTGTCTCCTTTCTGCCCTCCTCTTCCCCTCACCTCCTTGTAACAGCTGTTCCTCCACCCAGATACAAGGTCTCAGGCCAGGATGTGCGGCACATAGCACGTTTCATCTCATTTCAACACCAACGGTGCTGTTGCAAATTACGCAGCTCGTCTGGGAGGGAAGTGGCCCTTCGCCTCTGCCTTCAAGGAGGGAAATGAGACCTGTACATAAATTAATGAATCATTAGAAGTCCTATAAGTCTTCTAAAAGAGGGACATGTACGTGTAGTGGGAGTTCCTGGCAAGGCTTCAGGATGGGCTTTGTAGAGGAGGTAGCATCCTGAAAGGAGCCCCCTGAAGAGATCCCACTGCCCCGAGAGCCACAGTGTTGGCTCCCGTCCATATTAGTTCCTAACAGCCTCCTGGCTCACACGCTTCCTGAATCCCAGTCAAGCTAATCATTCCCTCATCTTCCGAGGCCCCAGCCCTCCCCCTCTAGACCTGTCCCAGTCCCACCTCTGAATGCCCTTGGTCTTCTCTGGCCTCAGTGTTAAGTGTTGAATGTCAATTGACACAGGTTAAATCCTGCCCTTGGCCAGCCACCTCCGAAGCCCGCCCTCCGGGAGCCCACCTGTGCAGCCCTCTGTGCTGAGCATTGCTGGGAAAGAGAGAACAATAACACCATTTACTATTCCAAACCCTACAGGGCTTCTGTTTGTTTTGATACAATTGAATTTTCTTTAAAAAAAAAAAAATGGGGGTGGGGGGCTAAATATCATGCCCTTAATTCTGCAGAATTTGGAAGTATCAAGCAGCTTTTTTCTAGAATTTACAGTGAAACGAAGAAAAAGCCCAATGGATTATTCTAAAAGCAGTGGTGCTCAGAATCTAATGCGCTGAAAAGAGCCCTTGATCCTGACGTTACTATAATACTGAATTCTGCTCATGACTCAGAAATGGAGGCCCAGCCTTTTCCCTGCAGTGAATGAGCAAGTAAGACAAGAGCTTGGACCTTTCTGGAAAAAGAGGGGCAGTATCAGGCACCCGCATCCGCACCCCCTTTCTTGACTCTTGACTCCGATGTATTTAATTAAAATTTGGGGGGTTTTTTAACGACAGTTTGGTATGAGGAGTAGTTTTTAAATTTTTTACTTTTTAAGTGGGCTCTGTGCCCAACATGGGGCCTGAACTCAGGACCCTGAGATCAAGAGTCACATGCTCTACCAAGTGAGCTAGGCAGGTGCCCCAGTAGTTTGGAAATTTAAGCAAAGTTTCTTTGAGGTAATTGGGATCTTTGAAGAGGGAAAGTATGAGAAGGTAAAAAACAGTGCCTCTGCCCATTCACCCCAAGCTAGAGCAACCCATAAGTCTCCTTCCTTCCTTCTTTCAGTTTACATCTGAGCCTTATTATATATCACAGGCATTGTGCTTTGTTCTCAGAATGTAGTGATAACCAAATGCTGGGTCCCTCTCTTCAACAGCACAACTTAGCAGTTAATTGCTATGTACCAGACACTATGCCAAGAGCTTTGTGTGCATTATGTCACTTAATCTCTGTAACAATCTTAAAGGTGACCTGAGATCATCCCCATTTTGCATCTAAGGAAGTTGAGGCCTAGAGAGGTCAGATAACTGCCCACAGCAACACAACTAGCAAGTGACAGAGACAGATGCCATGTGAGTCCATCCTATTCCAAAGACTTTCTATCTTTCTTTTCTTAGAGAGAGAGAATGTACACAAGCCAGGGGCAGGGGGGCAGGATAGGGAGAGAGAGAATCTCAAGCAGGCTCCATGCTTTGCACAGAGCCTGACGTGGGGCTCGATCTCACGACCCTGAGATCATGACCTGAGCCGAAATCAAGTTGAACGCTCAATGGACTGAGCCACCCAGGCGCCCTCCAAAGACTTTCTTTAAGCCTACCACCAATTGTCCTAAGGTTCTTGCTTAAAAAAAGAATGAAAATTCCAGTTTATAAGGGTATTTGGAATAGAGAATTTTTTATAACCTGTTGGGCATTGTTTCTGTGCATGATCTAACAGAAGCTCAAACGCCTTATTACATGGAAATTTCTTTCAACAAATACAATACAGATGCCAAGATCTGATGCCCTCAACTAGGAAAAGTAATTATAGGTTCTAATTGACCATATAAACTTTGAAAGAGAAAAATATGGGACAAGATTCTCAACCCTTAAATCTGATTTAATTTTCTGACCTTCAAATTCTGTTTTTTCAAAGAATATTTGTTACAGTAAACTCTTAAAAATCAGGATACCAAACCATATGCTTATTTTTATTCATAGCTTTTCAATTTTTTTTCAAATGAATATTTTTTTTTTAATATTTTCTGCTTCTTGCTACCAAGGACAGAGCCTACTATTTCAAAAGGGAAATCAAATTGCCAGGCTGCTGCCTCTCTATTTTCCCAAGGCATATCTGGTCCTCCCCAACTCCCTCTCCCCAACCAGACTCTTCCCAAGACTTGAAGGCTCTCCTTCTGTTGATATTTCTCACATTCAGTGTTCACTCACCTTAGCTGGTGGTGGGTAACAATCCCCTCAACAAGTGCCCCCTCAGCACTATCAGCAGGCAGGGTACTCTCCAGGTAAGTTACAAGGCAGATACACCTGGAGTCCTCTTAATGCTCAGTTAATAGTGTATAATACACACCCCTGGAAATCTCTTCCAAAATGTGTGTGTATTATTTCAATGCTTGCCTCTAGCAGGGAAGGGAAATTCTCACACTCATTTCATAAAACAAACTAATGATAAAATACAATATTTAGAGTTCTGGATGTTTGTGTGTTTGTCACTAAATAGGCAAAGTTCAGCTTTGTAAATGTTTGCTTTAAGCTTAAAATGTCTGTAGGTTTGGCCCTCTGACAAGCAGAGGGTCAAGAGTAAATGCCACTGATTAGGGATAATTAAGAAAAAATTATGCCAAAAGGCAGCTCCAACCGACTTCATCTTAAGCTCCCCCTACCAGGTATATGTAGACATAAATGAACATAGGAAATGGCCTGAACAGAAGGAAATATCCAGAGAATGCCCTGAGCATGACCCAGAATCAGGGCCTGAGAAAGACTTCAAGATGGCCAAGTAGCTTTAGACAGAGTCAGTTGTGACAAGGTGGGACCAAAACATACCCCTTGAACATCACGATGGAGGTAAGGAAGAGTATGTCTGGAGTATAGGAGATCCCTTAAGGGTGTCTCTTAGTATTACCATGCCCTGTCATTAAAGTCAGTGGAAAATTACAACAATCAAATTCAGGCGAGATTACTAATGACCTTGATCCTCCATGAATGATGGTTCGGGGCATCCTACCAGGTAAAGAAACACATCAGCCAAGGACAAAGGGAATATGGAATGAAAGTAGGAAAAGGTAATTATAAATATCAGCTACAACCGCATTCCCAGTTACAGAAAACAAGGACTGTAATTGTCATGAGGATTTCTTCCTTATTTTGTGGTGTGTGTGTGTGTGTGTGTGTGTTTAATATCTTTGTTTTCTTTCCTCTATTATCCCCTTATGTAACATAAGATGTTCTGACTTTATATCATAGTATTGTTAACTTTACAGCATAGTATTTCAGTTATGGGATATCAAGGAGAAGAATAAACATCACCTAAGGACTTTGCATCCTCTTCTAGGGAAAGGGTTAGTGCATTTTCAATTATATACAAGATAGTCATATCAAGTTAGGTGGAATTATTACCTTATTATTGTCTTTATTTGGAGAGTAAGTGCGGTTTAAGGAGATATGTATGGATGCCATGTTGACATGGAATGGCTGTTGATGTTGAATCTTGTATGTCAACTTGGCTAGTCCACAGTGCCCATGTGTTTGGTCAAACATTATTCTGAATGTTTTTGTAAATATGTTGTTAGGTGAAATTAATATTTAAATCAGTGGACTTTGAGTAAAGCAGATTATCCTTCATAGCGTGGATGGCCTCATCTAACCAAATGAAGGCATTAATAGGAAGACTGACCTCTTCGGGAGAGGGAATTCTGCTGGCAGGCCACCTTTGGACTCTTCTCTGGCGCTCTTCCCTGGGTCTCTACCCTGCTGGCCTACGCTGATGCTTTTGAACTTGCCAAGCCTCTACAATCATGTGAGCCAATTCCTTAAAATCTTTCTCTCTTTCCCTCTCTCTCCCCCAAACCCTTGCTCTTCCCACCCCTCTCTTCATTTATATACATCCTGTTGATTCTGTTCCTCAGCAGAACCCTAACCTTAATACACCCACTCAGAGTGGTCTGCTTCCCTAACTGGACCCTGAGACAACATTGAAATAGATCCCTCTACTCTGGAATCGGTCCCTCTTTCTGTCTGGGAGGCCAGGACCCCAAAGGCGCAGGGAGGGCCGTTACTGCAAAGGCAGAACTGGCAGTGTGCAGGGAAGTGAGATGTTGGCTGGCATTCAGGGCACAGGTCAGAGGCAGAAGGGTTGCTCTTCAGGCCAAGCTAGGCTGTGGCAAGCCTTGCTTTTCACCCTCTCCTTCTCCCCAGGTCCCTGCTGTCACTGCCCTGCAGGGGCTCACAGCCCAAGGAGAGGGACTGTGGCACTCCAGGGCAGCTTGGGCTCGATGATGTAACAGGCAAAACCATGGGCTCCAGGAGGATGGAAGAGGAAGCTGTTCCTCCAGATTGGGGCCAAGCAGCAGGCTTCACAGAGGAGGTGACTGCCTTGGATTGCAGATTCAAAGATCGATAGAATATTTTTCCTCCAAATTTTTATCTTGAAAAAGTTTAAACTTACAGAAAAGATGAAGAGTATAATGAACACCCATACAGCCATAATCTAAAGTCCCAGTTGTTAACAGTTGGTCATGTTTGCCTCCCCTAAACACACATACATACACTTACACTTAGACACTTTGCTGAGCCATTTGAAAGTCTGTTGCAGATAGACATTACGGCACACCACTCCCAGATATTTCAGAATCTATTTCAAAGGAACAAGGCAATAAGGCAATTCTCCTATACAACCATGATACTATATTGTCACATTCAAGAAATTTAACACTGTTAACAGTAGTAGGATCCGGTTCATCTATACTCAAATTTTTTTCAGTTGTCCCAATAATGTCCTTTTGTAGTTTTGTAGTTTTCTTTTCCCTCGATCAAGATTCCAACTGAGGATAGTGACTTGTGCTTACTTATCATGTCTCTTTAGTTTCTCTTAATCTAGAACAGTCCCCTGCCTTTTCTTTTTGGGGACAGGGTCTTTCATGATATTGACAGTTTGATGAATCCAGACTAGTTGTGGGCCAAACCAGTGGCCAGACTGGAAGGAAGAGCTGATAGAAATGAAGAGAGTCTAAAGAGATGAGGCTGAGGAGTAGCTGGGCTCAGGTGGGGTTGGGTGGGGAGCTGGGGAGTTTGAATTCCATGGTGTTTGCAGTGTCCCCTTGACTCCTGGCAGATTCAGTGGGTGATAATAGGTGTGTTCTCAAGGTTATACAACCACCAGCAACCTGTCCTTTTTTAGGGGATCCTGGCCAGCCGGGGTATCTCTGGGTTATTCTAGCACAATGTTTCCTCATAGTGGAAAACTACTTCAGGCAGACCAAGAGTTTCTGGAACCTCTCCTTACTTCTTCATCCCTCCCATCTCACCAGGTTCTGCAGCCGGCCTCCAGTGCAACTGCCCAGTATTCTCGTTCCTCTCTCCCATCACTGGCTCGGGTATGGGGAGGCAGAGGATGGAAACACAAGTTGGCATCCTAGTGGGTCAATGAGAGTGGAGTCAAAGAGCATGGGACATGAGGAGAAGCACAAAGGGCAACGGGGTAAGCTGGACGCAAAAGACCACCAGACTGAGCAGCCCAGTCTTCCAGTCCCGAGCGAGCTGGAAGCAAAGGCAGAACTGGCAGTGTGCAGGGAAGTGAGATGTTTGCTGGCATTCAGGGCACAGCAGGTCATCCTTAGAGGTGTTTCCTCAAATGGCTGCTCATTTTCTTGCATGATGTGAGGCTGCGGCAGCCACAAGAGAGAAGGATGAGAGCCATGCTTGCAGGGAGTGTTCTGATAAGTAGAAGCTGGTTCAAGGGATGGGTCCCACTCACGCACACAGTAGTAATAGAACTTCACCCATGGTTGAAGGACTTGCAGCAGGAAGTCAGAGGCCTAGTGTCATGTCCCTAAGGAGTGCCAAAGAGACACACTACACCCAGACACTCAATGGCAAGGCTGGAAAGCAAGAAAAGGAAATGAAGTATAAATAAAAGGAGTCAAAACTGCTCTTACTGCAGGCCCTATAATTACTAATCCAGACTATTCAGGATAGTTAACATCATAGCTATTAGAATAATCATGGAGTTTGGGGACACCTGGGTGGCTCAGTCAGTTGGGCCTTTGGCTCAGGTCATGATCCTGGAGTCCTGGGATCGAGTCCTGCATTGGGCTCCTTGCTCAGCAGGGAGCCTGCTTCTCCCTCTCCCTGCTGCTCCCCCTGCTTGTGCTCTTGCTCTCTCTCTGACAAACAAATAAATAAAATCT